CTCTTGCAGAAGTCAACGCAGTAACTAATGTTGGAGAACATTACTGTGAGCTTGGCAGGCTGGATTGCTGCCAAGCCTTATCTGTGTTTATTGCTGCCCAAGTTTGTCTGTGCCGGTTTGCTGCCAAGGACCCGTCTGTCTGTTAATTAAATGCCGTAACTTATCTTTGGCTCGGAGTGTATGTTGGTGTGCGACGAGGGGGATCAGAACACACTAATATATGCCACCTTTTTTTTTTAGGTCTGCAGTAATGAAGCCACCTGCATTTGTAACACTACTTGGGCAGGTACAGATTGTAGCATGTTTGATCCTAGAAGGAAAGATGACTCAGAGAAACCAAGTGGACCAAAGGGTTTGTGTGATTTCAGTTCCTTTTACCACCATATAATTTATATTATTGACAGGAACATTTGTAACAAAGCATTTGAAAACTATTAAACTATTATGTATACTTTATTTCTTTGTACACAAGTTTTGCACCAAAGTTTCAGGAGGTATTTCACAAAAAGCAATGCTATGAAAATATTTTGTTATTTTTCTAAAATATAGAAAATATATATTATCATTATTCATTCTAATAATAATTCTACCTATCAGTCTGACAAAATGTCTAACACTTTAAATGTATGAGTATGTTTATATAATAATAAAGGTTACATTTTTAAATTTTTAAAAACCCTTTATTAAAATAATGTAATTATAGAAGTAATCTAATATTCTTGGATATTTTCAGAGCTCATTTGTAGCACAATTCTCTGCATATAGAATTTCCATTGAATTTAGTTGGATTGGAAGTGTATATAAGAAATAAAGCCCTGGATTGTTTAACATGAACCTAATAAAAAAGTTACAGGATATTAATATATATTTGTAAAAATCAAAGTTACTTATTTTTTTTATTTTTGCAACTTAATAGATTTTTTTTAACTGCAGCATGATTATTGATTTAAATATTCTGAATGCAAAAAAGCCTCTTTAAATCCATTATAGGATCCCTAATACATAATTTTAAAAAAATACATTGAGAAAAAACACTCAAATATGATTGAGTAGCAGTTTTCATTTTTAAATGGGCATCATTTGAATACTTGAATGATTTTGAATTTTATTACTGTATTTTCCTGCCCATTCTTACTATCTAAGATTTTAGAAACCATTTAATTCCACCATAAATCCATAAATTAGCAGGCGGGAAGGAATAATAACTATAAGAACACAATCTACTAATAGTGGGGGGCCAGGGTTTCTGAATGATATTTTACTCTGTATTCATCATTATACAGAAATTAATTCTGATAAATATACTACTTATATGGGGTTTTAGTGCATTTGATGTGTGTACATTTAAGACTACCCTAATAAAAGAATGGAATGTTACTGGTAGATTGTAAACATATGAAAATTTCAAGAGGACCAAAGCTAATATAAATGCTAGAAATTCATGAAATTATGTAAAACTGATCAGAGATTCATAAATGGTAACAGGACAGAACTAGAAGACCCCTGGGATTAGCTCTAGAAATAGGTACAAGGGTACCTATTATTAAGGCTTTTCCAGTCCTTTATTGTGTTATTTTATATCAAAAAGCAGGGCTTAGATGTAGCTTTTCTCTTCTCTCTCCAGCCTTATCCTTTTCCTAAATGAAAGCTCCAGTAATAAATGATTCATTCTCCCCTATTATGCAATATAAGACCTGATGATCTCAGAGATCCCGTTTCTAGGAAGAGAAGGATTTCATTCTTCAAGATATAAAATCCCCTGAAAATAAGTATTACTAAGGTTGTTCTCCCGTGACCATATTTTGACGATCCTTTCTTACTTCTAAAGTAATAAAACCTCTTTGTGGAAAATAGAATTCTAATGGGTTTGAAGGAAAATTTGATTTGGGAAATCTTTTGAAACTCCTTTGGATAAGCCCAGACTTGATAAAAATAAGGAATTTCTAGAATAGGAGACATGAAGAGCAAATGAGAACAGACTGGTATTGAAAGAACATTAAAGCCAGTATACGAAGAAAAGATTTGTGTAATAGAAATAGAAGACAGAAGTCTTTGCCTCTCAATTTTTCTCCAGTTCCTAGTTTTAAAATTTTCTAATTTTGCATTTCATTTAGATAATGCAGACTATAATTTCAATTTGGAAATGAAAACCTCCACAACTAAAAATATTTTCAGTGTTACACTATGACCCCCCAAAAAAGGTTTTCCCTATGCTCTGTAAATTTTAACATTCTTAAAGTGTAAAACTATTTCAGTTGGCTTCAATAGATTAGGTAAACTAATACAGGTAAGTCCTCAATTTACAACCCTTCAAGAGCCGAGGTGGCGCAGTGGTTAGAGTGCAGTACTGCAGGCCACTTCAGCTGACTGCTATCTGCAGTTCGGCGGTTCAAATCTCACCGGC